ATGACACCAAGCTGAGTGGTGCAGCTGATACGCTTGAGGGAAGGGATGCCATCCAGAGGGACTTTGAGAGGTTTGAGAAAAGGGTGAATATGAACCTCACCTCATGAAGTTCAACAAGGCCAAGTGCAAGGTCCTGCACCTGGGTTGGGGCAATCACCAGGATCAGTACAGGCTGGGGGATGAACGGATTGAGAGCAGCCCTGTGGAGAAGGACTTGGGATACTGGTGGGTGACAAATTGGACGTGAGCCAGCAATGTGCACTTGTAGCCCAGAAAGCTAATTGTATCCTGGGCTGCATCAAAAGAAGCGTGGCCAGCAGGTTGAGGGAGCTGATTCTGCCCCTCTGCTCCACTCTGGTGACACCCCACTTGGAGTACTGCATCCAGCTCTGGGGTCCACAGCAGAAGAGAGACATGAACCTGTTAGAACGGGTCCAGAGGAGGGACACAAAAATGATCAGAGGGATGGAACACCTCTCCTATGAGGAAAGGCTGAGAGAGTTGGTGTTGTTTAGCCTGGAGAAGAGAAGGCTCCAGGGACACCTCCTTGTGGCCTTTCAATACTCAAAGGGGGCTTATAAGAAAGATAGAAAAACACTTTTTACCACGGCCTGTAGTGACAGGACAAGCAGCAATGGATTTAAACTGAAAGAGCGTAGATTTAGATTGAATGTAAGGAAGACATTTTTTACAATGAGGGTGGTGAAACTCTGGAACAGGTTGCCCAGAGAAGTTGTGGATGCCCCATCCCTGGAAGTGTTCAAGTTCAGGTTGGATGGGGCTTTGAGCAACCTGATCTAGTGAAAGATGTCCCTGCCCATGGCAGGGGGTTAGAACTAGATGATCTTTAATGTCCCTTCCAACCAAAACCATTCTGTGGTTCTATGATTCTATGTTTTCCTCTCTGGCTAATCAGAATAAAAGTCTATCAGTGGGAAATATGCAAATACATACAATTTGGATTCCTCCAGACACTCAGCCCATCCCGAGTCTGGTCCTGGATCCTCAGTCTTTGTAGTTGCTTCATGCACTGACACACATTCAAATGGGTCTTTGAGTTGACCCCCTGACCTTACCATCTTTCCAGTAGTTGGCCCTCTGGGCCCTCTGGTAGCCAACTTCTCCAGTTACCTCACTCACAGAGACACATACACATACTTGGTTCCCAGGACAATTAACTTACTCACTGGCTAGTCCAGCTTGATAATCACTGGCAATGGCACACTGACATGTGGTACCCTTGTTGTCCCTCAAACAGGGTTTGTTACCCAGTGTGCAATAAGCCAAGCTCACACACAGAGCCGAGATATTTGTTTATTTCATGTCTGTGCAGAGATGGGTGCTAGGTGGTAATTCCACAAAGCTAGCACACCAAAATACAAAACAAGTCCTTATTTATATCTTAAAATCAGCTAACTACCGCCCATACCGCCCAAACAGATTGGTTATTATATTTTTCTCATTACCATTTTGCTTTGTCATTCTCAACATCAACTACACATGTTCAGTGGGTAAGGGGATTAATGTGGTAGGGGGAGATTTCAGCAGTGGAGGTGTGGTTTTCGTATTATAATTAGGATAGGTTAACTTAGGACATGATCTTTGAGGAACTTGGCACAATTTTTACAGTTTGAAAGACACTTAATTTATCTCAAGTTCATGCCTACTGGTTCATCCATTCCTTTCTTGTTCTAAAAATCAATTTATCAAAATGCTATGTTATAACGGTTCCCATAGTATCTTAATTAAACATTTACAAGATTCAGCAGCTTTTCATATAATCTTACTACACCCTCACTCACTCCAGTTGCTGGTATCTGATGTGGTTTAACACCAGTAGACAGCTAAGCACCACACAGCCGCTTGCTCGCTCTCCCCTGGTGGGATGGGTGTCACAGTCTGTTTGGATCTCTCAAATTTACAGGACAACGTACTCTGTGGATTAAACTTTATTTTAGAAGCTCATTAAGAAATACAATAAACAAACAACAACAGGGGCTCATTTCCCCTTTGCCCAGACTAGTCTGTCATGTGAATTCACTGATTCAAGTCATAAGGTTTCATAACTTATAACCCGTAACTCTTAATTCGTGCATCTGTGAGCAAAAAAAAAAGTCGGTGAGAGTGCTCATTCTTCCTCCTCCATCATGGTGCGGGCGTCCCCTGTATCACTCCAGGAAGCATAAAAGCCTCAGCAGTCCAGCTGCTGTTGCATCTGCTTCAAAGGCTTTTTGGGTAAGCTGATGTTTTATACCTTCCAGCTTGGAAGTTTGGTCTATACCATTTCCATAAGTTAGCAGATTCTGAAGAAAGTGCCAGACAAAAGGCAATGGCTGCAGGAGCCAGCAATCTGCAGGTGATAATGGCTGTGTAATGGCCCTTTAGCTCTTTCTGGGCACCTGTCCGACCTATGTCGTGCTCTCCCTTTGACCTAATGGCGCTGTTCCCAGCATACATCAGGCCTTAGCATGAGCTGTGTTAGTCAAAATCTGAGGAGGAGCTGAGTGAACAGTCACAGATGGGGGAGAGAATCAGAAGGGTAAAAGTGAGGAAAACTCATGGGTTGAGATAAAGACAGTTTAATAGATAAAGCAAAATCTGCACGCAGAAGCAAAGCAAAACAAGGAATTCATTCACTACTTCCCATCAGCAGGCAGGTATTCAGCCACCTCCAGGGCAGCAGGGCTCCATCATGCATAATGATTACTTGGGAAGACAAATGTCATAACTCTGAATGTCCCCGCTTCCTCTTCTTCCCCCAGCTTTTTTTGCTGAACACAATGTCATATGGTATGGACTATCCCCTTGATTAGTTGGGGTCAGCTGTCCCAGCTGTGTCCCCTCCCAACTCTTGTGCACCTTCAGCCTACTCACTGGTGGGGTGGTGTGAGAAGCAGAAAAGGCCTTGACTCTGTGTAAGCACTGCTCAGCAATACCGAAAACATCCCTGTGTTATCAACACTGTTTTCATAACAAATCCAAAACATAGCCCCATACAAGCTACTATGAAGAAATTTAACTCTATCCCAGCCAAAACCAGTACAGCACCAAAGACACGTGCTTCTATGACCTGTGGTCCAGCTCCAGTTGCTGGCACTTAGAACTCCATACACACATATGCACACTGAATAGAGTCACCTCACCCAGGAAAACAGATAGAAATAGATTTTAATAAGAAGACACAATGGACAGTGCTGATTGGTGCAGGGCATAGCCAGACAAGCATATTGACCAGCAGCCTGCTTACCCACCACTGGCCACTTTTCACAGAATTACAGAATAGTTGAGGTTGGAAGGGACCTCTAGAGGTCATCTGCTCCAACCCCCCTGCTCAAGCAAGGCCACCTAGAGCCAATTGTCAGGACCATGTCCAGACGGCTTTTGAATATCTTCAAGGAAGCCAACTCCACCACCTCCCTGGGTAACCTTTTCCAGTGCTTAGTTATCCTCATGGTAAAAAAGTGTTTCCTGATGTTCAGACAGAAACTCCTGTGTTTCAGTTTGTGCCCATTGACTCTCATCCTTTTATCCACTTACCCTTCTATTTTCCCATGCTTGCTCCTACCCAAACATCCTTGATCCCTCTCTTTCTCCACCTTTGATTCCTCTCCTAAACATCCCATAATAAGCCTTGTGCAATTCCAAGATGCTCTCCTCTTGCATCTTATAGAGTGTCCCGTACCCTCTAGGCAATAGCCCCCCTCAGTCTCTAAGGTGATTCAGAAAGCCCTCATGTTGATTCATCTGATGGGTTTCACACCTGGACAATGGGGCTGATTGCTCTGCTAGGAGAGCCCTAGAAGGGGTCAGGAGAGGGCCCTGACTGGATTATTGGGGTCCCCCACCTGCCATTGTTCCTCTGTTCTCCTTTGCAGATGGAGACAAGCTTTCTATCTTATGTGATAGACAAATGAATGCCATCCATTCCTGAAGCCTACACACTTCAATTTTTCCAATGTTTACTGTGTCTGTGTAAGATGCAGACTCAGACCAGTTTTCCTGTCTTTCTTGGGTCCTAGCAGGCCTTTGTGTAGCTTGGCTTCCTAAGAAGTGCTTCTGTGTCCCACCACCATTCCTGCATTTGAGTGTAACAAAATTCTCCCTGTGTTTCCTAGCCTTTAAGTCTCTGTGCTAAGCTATAATATCTGAAGCATATATAGTAGCAGTCCAACACTGTAAAGCAAGAAACCAACATGTGCATCTTCCCTCTTCTCTCAGGCTCTTTATTGAGTGCTCTGTGATAACTGTAATGTTATTTTGTGAGTCCACAGGTAAAAGGACTGAGCATGTGTATCCAGGTCAAAGGAAAGAGGCAGACCTGGGAGCAGAGCAGGAAAAGAGGGTTCTTTGGGCATCAGCCCCACCCCAAGAGATGGTGGGGCATAAGGAACAACATGAAGACCTACCTGTCTGTCTTCTGCTTATGCTGCTGCATCTCCTGAGATAGCTTGCCACTCCTCATGAGTAATTCTCTTCTCTCGTTGAGTACCCCCTGACCACCCCCGTGGCTGGGGCAAGAGAGGGGGGAAAGAATAAAGAGTATTGGGACACTGAGTTGCAAGTAATAGTTTGTCTGAGAGGAAGAAGCTGAGGCAGACAAGGGTAATTGCTGAATACTGGAATGAAGAAACTGGTGCTCAGTGAACATTTTCAGCTGGATATCATCATGGCAGAACAACAAAGAGAAAGGAGGAGTTTCTGTTGAAGCCTTTGTGAATCACACAGCAGGGACATTACTCAGCATTTTCCGAGCCCTGATAGGTCAAAGGAAGAGAAAGCTCACCTGTCAATAGAAATAACTTACATTTTAGCAGTGTGGTTAGCTCAAACTTGCAAATACAGACATAACTCCTTGCAAAAAAACTTTAAGTTGGACTATTTAGAAAGGTGAATTGAATAAGTCTGATTTAAGAGTAAATGAAGAGTAATAATAATCTCATTAACCATCTGCAATAGATAATTGTGATTAGGCACTGTCCTTTCCATAACCTTGCTCTGTCTCTGTGAATGAAGGTGCTGATGAATTGAGGCTGTCAAATGGAACTGGCCCCTGCTCTGGGAGAGTGGAAGTAAAACATGAGGAGCAGTGGGGAACTGTGTGTGATGGTGACTGGACCATAGAAGATGCTGAGGTTGTTTGTAAGCAACTACGATGCGGATCTGCTGTTCAGGCCCTTAATCGAGCTCCTTTTGGAGAAGGATCTGGACCAACGTGGTTGTATCGGGTTGATTGCCGTGGTGATGAATCCGCTCTCTGGAACTGCTCACATATAGGATGGGGTGCTTTTACCTGCCCTCATTACTTTGATACTGGAGTGATTTGCTCAGGTAAGAAGTCATCCAACCTTGTATAATAGAAAAATGCTACGAAGCTGAGATCAGACTTTGTCCTAGATGGATAAAGTCAAGTGCTGCACAGAGGTAACACTTTCTGCATGGCCTCTGCTCAGCCAAAGCAAGTTGCACCAGTCTTCTGCTGACTACAAGTGTCTCCCTTGCCTGTGCAATGACATAGAATGGAAATAGACATAGTAAATGACATAGAAAAAGAAATACTATTTGTTTCTACCACAGCTCTCCCAGGCAACAGGAGAGCTCTTTGTCCAGGAACGGGGGCTGAAAAAGCAAGTATAGATGGAGAAGCAAGAATATGCTGTGTTATGCCATACTGCCCTTCTTCTCCAGGTCTTTGTGTAAGCTAGGACAGGACAGTCTGCAATGGCAAACAAATCCTATGTTTGTTTGGCTGCCTTCCTCTGCAAGATGTGCTTGGTTTTGCTCTTTGGATAAAGTACCATTGCAAGAGGTTTTTCCTTCCCAGCTTCAGGACTTTACATTTGTCCTTTTTGATTTTTCTAAGGCTCCTGTCAGCCCAGTAATCCAGCCTGTCTAGGTCGCTCTGAATGGCAGCTCTGCCCTTGGGGTTATCTCCCCCCACCCCCCAAATGCACTCCATCACCTCCTCCAGGTTGTTGGTAAAGATGCTGAACAGAACAGGTCCCAGGAAAGACCCAAGTGGTATTCCACTTGTTGCCAGCCTCCAGGTAGAGTGCAACCCATTAATCGCTACTCTCTGAGCCTGACCATCCAATCAGCTTTTTAACCATGTAGTTGTCCAGCCACCCAGACTGTAACATCCTAGTTTGAACACAAGAATATTGTGCAAGAAAGTGTCAAAGGCCTTGCTAAATGTGAGGTAAATGACACATGCTGGTCTCCCCTCATCCACAAACCCAGTCACTTTTATCAGAGAAAGTAATAAGGTCACACAGGCATGGTTTACCCTTGGTAAATCCATGCTGACTCTTCCCATTCATCTTCTTGTGCCCAGAAATGTGCTCCAGGAGGACTCACTCCATGGTTTTCCCAGGTATCAAAGTAAGGCTGACCAGCCTGTAGATCTCCAGACTGTCTTTTTAGCCTTTTCTGAACATGGGTGCAACATTTGCTCTTTCTCTTTCTGGGGCGCTTCAGCTTCCTATTCATTTGAATAATGAAGTCTTGAGGACACACACTAGTAAGTGGCTATTTATTTATTTATTTGGGGATTGCTACTTCTCAAGCATTTGGCAAACGTTCAAAACTTCCCTCCTTCTGTAGCTTCCCAAGGATTTAGTGTTTTCACATACTAAGAAATAAGCATTCCCACACACCATTTTCTCTCTTGTCACTGGCATAGAGGAATTGCCACAATGGTTACTTAAAAGTGCCAGTGGTCCTCAGAGAAGTGGCATGTGTCTTACCCATGAAGGTATAGGAGTTAAATTAGGTCAGTACAACTAACATTTGATGCTGGATTTCTTGGGGTTTTTTTCCAGGTTTCTCTGGGCTGCATCTGACTGGAGGGGACACTGCCTGCTCAGGGCGTCTGAAAGTAAAGCAAGAAGAAACTTGGGCTACAGTCTGTTTTTCACACATTGATTTTAAAACTGCCTCTGTTATATGTAATGAGTTAGAGTGTGGCCAGGCTGTGGATATCTTGAGAGGAACTCACTTTAGAGACAGACATGAACGGATCTGGCAAGAAGAGTTTCACTGTTTAGGGAATGAGACTCACCTTGCACACTGTCCCAGGATGCTGCACCGTAGTAAGACATGCTCTCATGATGCCACTGTTGTATGTTCAGGTGAGACTTTGGACTGATGGACATCATTTATATGTCCATATATATATGTCCTATATGTCGTCTTCTTGTCAACCCACAGTTCAGAGCCTCTGTATATTTCTGTGGTCCTCAGAGTTCTTGGGTGCTTCCTCTGTATATTTCTGTGGTCCTCAGCATTCTTGGGTGCTTCCTCTATCATGCCTTAAGCCATGCAGGGAAGGCCAGGAAGTAATAGAGAGCAGCCCCACAATCTCTCATTCACTCTACTCAGAGTCTGCATTTAACATGGGCTGTTCTAACCACTTCACTTCTGCACCAGGGATGCGGATCTCAAAACGGTTGTAATTTCTTTTCTGCTACTAGAGGTATGCACTCAATAGTGCTGAGAGTTCCTTCCATGTCTTTCTTATATACATAAAAGGAGAGATGGACAGAGCAGACATGCAGGAACACGGAGAAATGAATTTATTTTCTGTGCTGCCAGTGTGTATGTTAATCCCTGGCACTTCAGTAAATTATAAAATTAGGAGAGGTACCATACCTCCAAAAGGTCAAAGAAGGCACAAGTTACAAATTTAAGTTATTTTCAAAATAAAGGAAAAAGTTGTCAGAGACCTGGATGACTTTAGTTGTGACTGCCAGATAACATTATTTAAGAACTCCATACAGTCATGTCTGCTGGGGGCTCTAAATACAGCTAACATTGCCACCCACTACAAAAGTGATGATTAGACCTAACAAACACAACTTTTTTCCTGAGGGCACAAATCAGATGGGGTAAACGGAACATGGGGCAGAGCTGCTGGCAACACCAGGTCACAAAACAAGCCTGGAAAGGACTGCAGTTCATGTCCATTTCCCAGTCAAAAGGCTGCAGTCTGTTTCAAGACGGCCTTGGACACTGTCCTACTGGCCATGGTGATCTGGAGCACTTGTGGGGAGCTGTGGCTGCCAAACAACCCAGTTAAGGTATGAGTAACTGACAGGTCTTGGCTCCTGCCTCCATCATGCAAGAGTCACAGCTCAGAGCAGAAATCCAGATCTCATTAAGGGGAGTATGATGCAAGGACCAGGCAAAGGTAAAAAGATAGAGGGATTGCATGGGGCTGGCAGTAGGACACCACAGTCTTACCCATGCTGCACTTAAATTATTTTGAATATGCTGATGGGCACGGCCTGTTGTGTTCAGAGCCTTATTCTGTGGCATGGATGAAAGTTGAGAATTGCACGCTGCTGGGTAATGTGAGATGACCAACTACTGAAAAAGTGCTGCTAGTAGCTCCTACTCTGAGTTTCTCACATGATCCAAATGCAAGGCAATGCTGGAACTGCCTCTGCAAGAAAAGATGTTGCAAGGCAGCAGCAGTATTGTGGCGGGAGGAGAAAGCAGAGCAGAGGAGGAGAGACAACTTAGTCAAAAGACTTATAGTCATGTAGTGCAAGCTACAACATGGACAATAAAGACTTTTTTTTTCAGAGCTGGCTTATGAGCATCCTGGTCTAACATGCTTCCCAGTAACCTGAGACATAGTGAGTGCTAGTTCCTTGCAGCTAGTTCCTTGCAGCTAGAGCTCCCTTACAATTTCCAATGCAATAGCACAAAAAAAAAAAAGTAACTGCTAAGTTCCTTTATTCTTCCTGCAGGCTATGGTGGGTACAGGTTGGCAAATGGCAGTACCACATGTTCAGGGAGAGTAGAGCTTCTTCATGGAGGCACATGGGGAACCCTGTGTGACTACCTGTGGGATTTACCAGCTGCCAATGCCCTCTGCCAGCAACTGGACTGTGGAGTTGCCCTACTGATACCTGGTGGACAGTCCTTTGGGAAAGGAAATAGATCTGTCTGGAACGGCACATTCAGCTGCAAGAAGAATGGCTCACACCTGAGAGACTGTCCTGTGCGTGTGCTAGGTCATGATGAATGCCCTGCTGGAAAAGACGCTCGTGTGGTATGTTCAGGTGAGCAGCAGAAAGGTCTAAGAGGAAAACTGAAAAACTCCTATTTGAAAAAAAATATGGACCCAAAATCCAGAGGGTGTCTGTGGAGCCAAGCTCCGTCTTTTGTCTGCTGCTACAGGCATTTCCACGATTTGAGGCTGCACTTCACCGGTACCACGAGGCTGCTCCCTGTGAAATGCTCGTAGTGTCAGGGCACAACAAGAACAGGGCTCCTCCACAAGGTAGGATAAGCTGGAAGCAGAGAGTGAGGACAACACAGGCAGTGTGCATCGAGGCACAATCCAAAGCATCTGCACAGAGGACAGAGGAAGGTAGTGATAACAAGGTCTATGGACAGTCAAGGCAAAGTAATTACAAGGCAAAGTAATCAATCAGATGGAGGGATCAACTGGAGAGTACAGTCAGGAGCAGCAACTGTCTCAGACAAGACTGGAGACAGTTACACCAGTCACAGGCTGAAGGCCTGGTCCAGGTTTAAGTGAGGCCTTGGACCAGTAGCCCAAGGATGCATAGCTGGACTCCCTAAGTGAGATTGGTCAGAACAATTAAGGTCTATTGGTTCACCCAGAGCCCTGAAACCTAGTGCCCTGAGTTTAAAAATTGCAAAGGGGACCAGATCCTGATTTCTAGTCATTCTTTTCAGTAAAATAAGGTGGACTGAAGTCTAGTGATGAGTATGGAAGTTCCAGTGGCTCAGTAGAGTCATTTTTACTACTGAATGCTAAGGAAAACTCACTCCCATTTCCCAGTCACTTTCAGGTCATGCTCATGAGCAGTTACAAACGTGACATCTCAGTAGTCACTTTCTCTTATATTCAGGGTGCCCAGGGGGCAGGTTGGTGAATGGCACCAGATGCTCTGGCAGAGTGGAGATCCGCCATGGAGACACGTGGGGAAGACTCTGCCACTCCCACTGGAATTTGCAAGCTGCCAGCGTTCTCTGTCATCAGCTGAACTGTGGCTATGCGAAGTCAATCCAGACAGGAGAACGTTTTGTGGATGGGAATGGGCCTGTATGGAGAGATGCTTTTCACTGTGAAGGGAGGGAGTCCTGCCTGTGGGATTGTGCTCAAGTGACTTTGGGCAATCCAATCTGTTCAGCCAGAGAAGCAGCCACTGTTATTTGCTCAGGTAAGTCAGGAGTGGCTTTTTATGGGTAGTACAACTTCAGACCAAAGCAGCGTTGGTGATCTCATTCTGCCAAGTAAGTCTGGTATGTCAGCCTGTCTTTAATACCCTTTCCTTTCCTTTCCCCCACGCCTCCAACCTTGGTTTCAGCATAAAAACTTCATTTAGTGGAGGGATTCACATTGTTTACATGTGCCTGACGCCTCACAGGATCTAGTCTTTGAGCTGAGGATGCCTTTCTCACTTCCCATTGCAGACCCTTGTGTGCATGAAAGTAAACAAAGCTTTAACAGTGGCTGTCTCCTTAACCAGTGATGAGAACTATTTTTTTACCAACATAGAAATTTGTCTTCCATCTCTTTCCTGCATGTTATTTCTACTGCAGTAAGAGCAGTAGAGGTTATTCAATAAATTTTCCAACTCTCTTGAGCCCAGGTCTTGATGAATCACTCAGACTCTCAGGTGGTGAGAGCCGCTGTGATGGGCGAGTTGAGATCTCTCTCCATGGCATGTGGAGCAGAGTCCTGGATGATGAATGGGACATTAAGGATGCTCATGTGGTATGCAGACAGCTCCAGTGTGGAATTGCTAAGAAAGCCTATTACCTTCCAAGATCTCAGCGAGGCATGGGTCTTGTGGGCTTAAGAAGCGTCCAGTGTGCTGGAAATGAGACTCAGCTGATGCTCTGTAAGACCTCCCATTCTCAGACAGTGCCAACGGGAGTTGCTGAAGACGTTGGTGTGATTTGCTCAGGTGAGTTACTGTGCGAAAGGAACAGAATGCTTCCTGGGTTGTCTCTAGCCCACCTTGTGCTGTGGTCTCGCCAGATCTTAAATAGGCATGGGTCTGAGCTTGCAATACCTACCTGCTTGTATACTGTAAGGGACAAATGATAGTTAAGGAAGCAAGTGTAATTTACATAATGCTTTTTTCAGAATTTCTTAAAGAATTTATCTCACAGAATCAAAAAGAAATAATAGAATACAGAAGTCATAAGAACACTAATTTGGCCATGACTGCCACACATTCTGACTGTCACTTGGGAATTAAATAGGTTTTATTCTGTGACATTTCTGTATTTATAGATACCTGCAGCCTTTCTAAAGTAAATTAGAACTGTTTCTACTCTTCTCTTATTTTGTAACCCATCTGTAACAGAAACTGTCTCTGTCTAACTAAATGAGTTTAGATAGAAAACAGCTTTTCAGGCTTTCTAAGATAAGGTGATCTCTGCATATACTTAGTATGACTAGACACTCCTTCTTGTTTGCAACATCTCACAGGAATTACTCAAACATTTGCCTGATGCAGGAGTAGGCCTTTCCCTTTTTGCAGCTTTAGCATCACAGGAGTTCTGCCCAAGAAACCATAACAGAAAAACTGGAATGTAGCAAGAACATGATGCCTTAAAAGTGTTTTAAACATCCAGCCATTACGCTGACCTGTGCATTATCATTATATTGCATGTTGACAGCTGGGTTTTCTTCCTGCAGGTAGCAGACAGATCAGGCTGGTGAATGGAACAAAGCGCTGTGCTGGGAGAGTAGAGCTTTATCATGATGGCATCTGGGGCACCATCTGCGATGATAACTGGGATCTATCAGATGCTAATGTTGTGTGCAAACAGCTGGGATGTGGACATGCCATCAAGGCATTTGTCTCTGCTCATTATGGCGAAGGCTCAGGACAGATCTGGCTGGATGATGTGGACTGTACTGGGGCTGAATCTGATCTCTGGGCATGTCCCTCTAGGACATGGGGCCAGCACAACTGCCAACACAAAGAGGATGCTGGAGTCCTGTGCTCAGGTGTGTCCAAAGAATCCTTTGGGTTGAAAGGGGAGGGTTACATGAAGAGGAAGCAGAGAATAGTGGAGACTTGCTTAGACAGCCTCTTGCTCTCTCTTGACTACAAGCATAGTTGGTCAGCACATTCCCTTGGTCCCAGCAAGATGCAAAGGGTCTACAGAAGTCCTTATTTTGCGTTAACACACGCACACAAAAAGTGAGTAGTGGGGGATAAATTGGAGGGTTTCCGTAAAGGTTTCCACAGCAAGGGACTGTGGGTGTTCCTTGTGCAGGAGGAGGTCATCCACTGCTATGTGCCATTACAGTCAGTTACAGCTGGCTCTGAAACCAATGGAAACAACCCACTGTGCATCAAAGCATCAATCAATCAGAGGAGCATATGGTGGATCTGCTCCTGCATATTTAAGACAGAGTGGCAGCTGCAAGAGAGAGGAGAAAGGAAGGAGAAGTGGAAAAAGACGCTGCTGGGGACACGGCTGGAGACACAGTTTTCATGCCAGAGGAGGTATGCCTCTGAGAGGACTGTGGGCTGTGGATAAGCCACGCTGGAATAGATACACACCTAAAGGGACTGCAGACTATGGAGGGTCCACAATGGAGCAAATACAACCCCTGAAGGGACTGCAGCCTGTGGAGCACCCATGCTGGAGCAGTGGAAAATGAATAAGAAGCAAGGAACGGCAAAAAAAACCCACAACCTCTTGCACTGCCACCCTCACTGAAGGAACTGGGAGGGAAAACAAAGCAAGTTAGGACTCATGGAGTGGATAAAAGGTGTTTCCCTCAGAGTTTGTTTATTTGTTAATGTTTTCTGTTTTTTTCCTCATTACCCAAAGCAATAATTAAGATTATCTTAAGTGCAAAAAAAAAAATTAAGTTAAATTTCCCAAGTGGAAACTGTTTTGCCCATGCTAGCAGACAGTAAATGTAGGAGACACTCTGGCAACACTAGTACCTGGCATGCCCTGGGACTGGAATAATTGTCGTGAATTCAAAGACCCAGAGAAGCTTTAATTCTGATACTAGAAATTTGCCATGGTGTGGTGTAAAAGTGGTACACCTGTTGTTCGGGGGGTGGGG